TCTAAAACTAGTGAAACTGGTGAAACTTGTCTACAAGACACTGGAGAAATTTGCACGTTGTAGACTACTGGACTTTCGTGTCTGCTGTTCAACATCGCGTTAGAAGGTGTGATCAGAAGAGCTGGGATAGACACGAGTGGCACGATATTCAGGAAGTCCATCCACCTCCTTGGCTTCGCCGATGATATTGACATTATGGCATGGAACTTTGAGATGATGGCGGAAACGTACATCAGACTGAAGGCTGAAGCTAGGCGGATTGGACTTGCCATCAACGCATCAAAGACAAAATTCATGAAAGGAAGAGGTTCTAGGGAAGACAATGTTAGCCTCCCACCCCGAGTTCAGATTGACGGTGACGAAATCGAGGTGGTCAATGAGTTCGTGTATTTGGGCTCACTGGTGACCGCCGAAAATGATACCAGCAGAGAAATTCAAAGACGGATTATGGGAGGGAATCGTGCCTACTTTGGACTCCGGAGGACGCTCCGGTCGAATAAAATTCGCCGACTGTCTACAAGACGCTGATTAGACCGGTGGTCCTCTACGGCCACGAGACCTGGACTATGCTCGTGGAGGACCAACGCGCCCTTGGTGTTTTCGGACGGAAGGTGTTGCGTACCATTTACGGTGGAGTGCAGATGGATGACGGAACGTGGAGGAGGCGAATGAACCACGAATTGCACCAGCTGCTGGGAGAACCATCCATCGCCCACATTGCAAAAATTGGGCGACTACGGTGGGCTGGGCACGTCGTAAGAATGTCGCACGACGACCCAGTGAAAATGGTTCTAGAAAGCGACCCAACAGGAACAAGAAGAAGAGGCGCCCAGCGGGCAAGGTGGATCGACCAAGTAGAAGGTGACCTGCGGACCCTTCGACCCAACATCACATTATAAAATGTTTCTGGATAATTATTATCTTCCCTGATAATACATTTTCCTTTTACTTTTGACGACTTTCCTTCTCCATAACTCTAACCTAACCTAACTTAACCTAACTTACATTCTAATGTTAGAAAACCGTTTACCCGCGGTTGACTCGGGAATTATTTTAACACACTCACTCGCTCTCTCATTCATCCACACACACATAAATTTGTATATCATATTCACAATGTACAAACATAGATTTATTTTCGAATTCCTGGACTCTGCAAAAAAAAAACAAGATCCAGGATTTGGCCTAAACATATAAGTTATGAGTCTCATTTTTTTTCATTTATCGTGCTAAGAAAAGTTTTGATGAATCTGAATTCAGAAAAATCGTCAAGATTCAGCGAATTTATAGTCACTTTAACGCTCTTGGGTCATTCGTGACTTGTCTCGGGGTGAGATTTGACCTCGTAACTTCGGCGTAAAAGGTATGGATTTTAACCACTACGCCGGGGTCGCCCCCTACACACTGAAATTATGGAGAACTTACTGGAAGCTTTAAGATCGGTTCTTTTAACATCCGAATATTTTCAGGAACTTTTATGAAGTTCCTAGAATTTCAGAGCACATCACAGGTGTTAAGCGAACCTTGAGAGGTATTTTGTAATTTTTTAAGAAGTTCTAAGCACCACAGAAAAGCTAGATCTAGAGATCTTTGGGGAATTTCAGATCTTAAGAGCAGTTCCCATGACTTAAGTTCAGACTTTTTGGAGTAGTTTAAATATCTATAATTGTAAATTTAGAAAAATTGAAGTACAGAGACCATCAAAGAATCTATGTAAACTTCAGAAATATTTCAGGAACTTCACACAAGTCCAAAGAATTTCAGGGAAATTTATCTTCAATAGAATTAAAAGCTTTAGGGAAGCTTCGAAAACATCAAGACAGATCAGAGAATCAAATGGTAGTACAAATAATTTCAAGAAAATTGTAGAAACCTTAAATAAGTTCCTTAGGACTTCTGGAACGTGATAAAAATTATTTGAACATTCGGAAAACTTGAGAGTATTTTAAGGGTGTTATATCATGGAAATTTCAAGAACTTTAAAAAAAATTCAAAAAAGTTAGAAATCTATGGAGCTTAGATCCATAGGAGATCCGCGAACTTCAGGAATTTTTATGAACATTAGCAAAATGCGGGAGCATTTGAAAGAAGTTTAGTAAGCTCCGAAAATTGGAGGAATTTCAAGGAGAGATCAGTTCCATTAGATTCAGAAAATTAGTGGAAAATTTAAAGCAGTTCCCAGATTTTCAGATAACCTCAGAGACGTTAAAAATTTAATTGAGGTCTTCGCATGAGTTCAGAATTTCACTGAAGCTTAAACATTTTAAGGACGCTTCAATTAAATTCAGCGCAGTACAACAAGCTTCATGAGAACTGCAAAAACGTTAGAGCAGTTATGAGAACTTCAGAAAAGAACAGAGAACCTTAGAGCAGTTCCGTTAACATTGTAGAGAAGAAGTTTAGAGAACTTCAGTGAATTGTTAAACCTTTACAAAAGATTCATGATCGTTAGAAAAATTAAGGAAATTTTAGGAAGTCCTATAGATTTCAGGGAAGTTCATCAGGCTAGTTTCTCAAACTACAAAAGAACTTTCAGAAACGATAAGGCGACACACAAAATGAGATGCAAAGCGTAGAGAACAGCAACCCTAGGGAACCCATGGATTGGAGCAGTAAATTAATATGGTGAGACCATTCCAAATACCTTTCACAATAACAAAAAAAAAACTAAATACGTGCCAGGTTCAAAAGAACATTTTGAAACTGGAAGTGTGTGTGTAATACTAATATCCTATTGATAGAGGTAATACATACATGCGGGGCTTATTGCAAGTGAAAGTAACCTCGGAATGGGCGTGACTCTCTAGACATTCTGAAATGGGTTGCTGGATCTGCAATAAAGGGTGTCCACGATGAAATTGCCACACTATGAAATTGCTCTAACTTTTTAACCGTTGGGTAGAATTTAATGAAAATTTGGGTGGATTTAGTTCATAGTGCATTATTTACATCCTGCAAGTTTTAAAGTCCTGTGATCAAAACTCGCGGATGGGCCCATGTGTGTTGAATGGGTGCGATATCCTACGCAGGTGTGGAAGCTGCCTTCCTGCACATTCGATTGCCGTCAATGGATGGCAATCGATGTCCGTCGGTGATTGGCACTAGATTGCGGAACAGAGACCGACGTTAAATAAAGGAAAGAAGAAGAAGAAGAAGAAAACTCGCGGAAATGGAGTCGAAAGAACAGCTCGTGCGTGATAAAATCTTGCGCATTCATCACGAGAACAAGGATCTCTCGCATCGTTCCATCGCTAAAACGTTGGGAATCGCGAATTCCACGGTGTCGCGAGTGATTAAGCGGTTCGAGGAACGGTTGACCACCGATCGGAAGCCCAGAAGTGAAGGAAAAAGTATTCCGTACAACACCAAAAATCACAACCATGTAGTTGGGGCCTTCAACCGAAATCCGAACGCCTCCGTTAGGGATGTGGCTAAGAAGCTGCACCTAAGCCGAAGTTTTGTCCAGAAGGCCAAAACTAAGGCTGGGCTTCGAACGTTCAAGGTACAAAAGGCCCCTAATCGCGACGAGAAGCAGAACAAGTCCGCCAAAACCCGTGCCAGGAAGTTGTACCTCAACATGCTGACGAAAGTTGAATGCTGCATCATGGACGACGAAACATATGTGAAGGTCGACTTCAAACAGATCCCCGGCAACCTGTTTTTCACGGCCAAGGATAAGTTCAGCGTTCCGGAGCATGTCCGCACTCAGAAGATGTCCAAATTTGCGAAGAAATTCCTGGTTAGGCAAGCCATCTGCACGTGCGGGAAGCGGAGTGCACCTTTCGTGACCCAGGACACGATGAACGGACAGGTGTACATAAAAGAGTGCCTCCAGAAGCGGCTGCTTCCTCTCCTGAAGGCCCACAACGTCCCAACAATCTTCTGGCCGGATTTGGCCTCATGCCACTACTCCAAGGACGTGCTGAAGTGGTATGCGGACAATAAGGTCAATTTCGTGCCGAAAATGTTCAACCCTCCCAACACTCCGGAGCTCCGCCCCATCGAGAAGTACTAGGCGATTATGAAGCAGCACCTTCTTAAACGACCTAATAGTGAAGACAGTCGAGGAACTGAAGAAAGTATGGGTTTACATGCAAAAAACGGTTGATTCACAGGTTGTGCAGAATCTTATGGCCGGGGTTAAGGCCAAGGTGCGGGCATTTGCGTATGGACTGTAAATAAAATACGAGTAAAATGGTAAAATGAAGTTTAATAGTTATTTCTCAATCCCTGAAAATTTGATGGCAATCGGATGAAAACTCGAATTTTGCGAATTAATTTTGTGTGTGGCAATTTCATCGTGAACACCCTTTAGAGCTATCACCTTCTAACTCCCGGACTAAAGCTGTCTACAATGACCATAAATGCGACATTGTAGGGAGAGTTCTTCCATAATACCACTGCCGGCCAGTGGGGGGTTTGATGGAATACACACACACACACACACACACACACACACACACACACACACACACACACACACACACACACACACACACACACACACACACACACACACACACACACACACACACACACACACACACACACACACACACACACACACACACACACACACACACACACACACACACACACACACACACACACACACACACACACAAACGTTATGAAATTATCCTCAGAATGCCCTTGGCATTTTCCTTTGAAGTTCACAGGAGTTGTGTTCCTCAGAAATTCTTAATAGTTTTCAATAAAATTTATTTTTAATTAAATTCAGGGTAACTTTTTAGTCACTTTTTTTTTACAATTATAAGTCACTATTTGGTCACTTAACATGGTCACTACAATCACAATTTCTGACAGCATTGATCGCTACCAGCCCTGCATCCGTGAAGGTATTTTTGTCAGTTCTGTCTTGACGTTTCCTCCTCAATTGTGTTCCTATTATCCTAGAGTTCCCTTTACAAACTGCTACCGTAACGCTTCGTAACATTTTCTCGCTTCTATTAATGAACGTAATGTATCGTCCTATACAGGTCCTCGACGAGGAAGCCGAGGTGTTCGTCGTCAAGATGTGGCGCCTGCTGATCTACGAGGTCGAAGCGAAGAAGGTCGGACTCACGAAGTAAGCGAACAAATTGCGTTACTTCACTCCCCAGGACCGCGACTGGCTCCCAGGTATATTCCCCGTTTGTTGACAGTTCAGAAAGACAGCCCACAGATAAGTGTGCGCAAGTGTGAATAGGGAATGTCCTCCGTATTTTAAGAAAACACTGAACACCCACACGTTCGCGTGTTTATTTTTTCGTCATCGAATTCACGCTAAGGAAATGGACTTTTTAGATTTTTCATTTTACCCCCAGTAGGATGTAGCATAAAATGTAGAAATATAACTAATAATCTACGAAGAATAATTGAATTGACGTATTATATGGTGTAGAAGCAAAATAGTGGTTATCGAACAGTAATATCATGAAAAGGACTCTAGTTTTACTCTGAAAATAGACGTGTGTGTTTTCGTTTTTCAATCAATATCGAGATCAGCAACTACCACACAACTACTACCGTTTACTCGCACCAGTAGATTTACCCGTAAATTTCACATACACAGGCATCGATGAACGAACGATCGAACCAGAGAGCTAGTGACGAACGTTTCGTGCGCCGACCTGACCAAAAGGATCACTCCAACCACACCATCGACGACGGTCCCGCAGCAGCAGACATGAAACTGATTGATAAGTGAGTAGAAATCAGCTAATTACTCTTGATAAAAAAATGAATCAAATTATACACACACACAAAAATATTAAGATAATGATACTGGAAAAAAGATATCTTGCTAAACAGTAAGCATATAGGCAGAATAATGAAATAAACAAAAAACAAGCAACAGTTTCAACAGAAGACGATTGCTTCTTTCGGGTTTCTGTGTGATTCGAAAGAAACTAGCAAACCACTTCTTCTCCAAACTGTTACGTTTTCTTGAGTTTCCAACCTATAAAAAACAAAAAATCGATGTAGACGTCCAGTAAATATCACCTCCTCCTTAGCGTACCACTCATATTGATCCTTTTTAGAAAAAAAAACTCTAAATGCTAAATAGACAATACATTCCTAATGCGGTTGCTTTCCCTCTTCCGGTGGTGCGTGCCCTTCCAATCTTCGCAATAGTACAAGCCCGGCATTGGTGGCGGCAGCGGCGGCGATCTGATCGATTAGATCCTCAAGACGCCATCACCCGTCACCGGTTTTTCTTGCTGACAGTCCGATACGGTGGCGGTGATTCGATTTTCCATACTTCTGATTTGAGTTCTCTGAAGCGGTTCGTTGCTGCAAGTGTCCCCGGATCGGATGACTCGGTAAGTACTGCCTCTTCAGTTTGATTCGATTTCTTAAAGCTGTGTGCTCTTCTGCTCGATGAGGCATAAGGTAAGATGCCGTACGATTCTTACCGTTTATTCGTTTGTCGCTTCTGAATGGTGGGCAGTGTCTTGACTAATTGTTGGTTTCTAAATTTTGCGCAGGAGATCGACGGGAGGAGATGAAGGGCATCAATGAGCGAACAAGATTGTAAGTATTGCATTTTTATTTTAAATTAGATAAGGGGATGTTCTTAGTTAGGTACCATCTAAGAAAGACTGAGTAGGATGCTGGCTGTAAAAGACACTGTAAAAGGGACACACGACCAAACTGGACCATCAGCGGTAGCAGGAAATTCCAAGAAAACGGTGAGTAAACATTTTTGTTCTTACTTGAGTAGTTTACTGCGACATGGTGAATGAAGCTGGAAAATATATTGCTTATATTATCGTACTGTCAAGCTACACCTTACTCGCCAAGTGCTTTTATCACATTGTCCAAATTGTGAGGTTTCTATATGAAATATTCTAGATTGTTATGGACCATCCATAAATGCCGTAGTATGATTTTGACCATCTATAGATCCGTTTTTCTCATACTGTTTTAACGAATGGCACTGTTATGTCGAAAGGGCAGTTAGCAGTTCCTTTATTTTCCCATATAGAGCATTTTTTTCAGTATGCAGAGTGCTTTCTGAACCGGGAAAGCCGGGAGAACCGGGAATTTTATTGGAACCTTAAAATATATTTGTTTACAGCTATGTTACTTAGTGTCTGTTATTAAAAACTCTCGAATTTGTTATTAATCTTGAACAGCTAGTTAAGAATTATGAACTGTTCCTTAGCATGGGAAACCAAAAATTAAGTCAAAGATCTAAAATAAATAGTCATGTCTCGGAGTAGCAAACATTATTTGTTAATGACGAACCGTAGTAAAAACTCGACCTTCGCTGATTTGCTTAACACTTTGCATGATTGTGTTATGGGCAATCATTCACGGCCATTTTGGATTTTGGATTTTCTTTCAAAATGGCGTCTGTCATTTTTTAAATAATTGTAGCACGAAAATGTCACTTCTGATCGAAATTACGTCTGAGATAAAGTTGTAGAGAAAAATAAAGTCTTTATGTGAAAAATATACTCGGTATTTTTTTTAGTATTTTTGAATAATTTTTTCTTGATTTTTTTTCCGTCGATTTTGTTTTTGTACTGAGTACCAATGCTACCGACGCAAGGGAGGCAGCTCCCACACCTGGACCCTAGATATCGACCCATCAACTCCCAAAGGAAGGCGTGATCAGAGATGTTGTGCCTCTGAAAATCCCGGCGGCTCCGACTGGGATTGAACCCATGCCTTTTGGGGTGAGAGACAATCACGCTTACCACTAAACCACCAAAAACTTAAATATATTAAAAAGTATGTATTCAATTTTTATATTTAAAAAAAGCTCACGAAAAATGCACACTTTTGGAATATTTAAATTCATGGACTCTTGAAAATTAACAAAGTTCGCTAACAAGAAGTTTAAAAATATTATCAAAAGTTGAATTACTGCTAGGGGCATCCCACTCTAAACTATAGTTCTGGTTGAAATTAAATATTCTGAAATATCTGATAAGTATCCTTAAGTATTTTTAAGTATTTGAAATTCTTGCTTATTTCCATCGTAGTGACCGGTTGCTCGTGTAGTTGTGTGTTGTTGTTTGCTACGTCCAGCCATTTCTAGATATTTGTCACGTATTTAATCAGGAACTCGACAAGGATCTGAACGGATATATTTCTGGCATTAAGCGAGGTTTTGGTCTCCTCTGCTTCCGGAACGAAACCAATATTAAACGATTAATGTTGTTAGTAGCAATAGTGCTATAATAACTAGTACAAACTACCGGGCGAAACTCGATCACATCCTGCAGTCAACAAGCCACATCACCTGATACCACCTCCGTTGGTTAATTTGTACGAGACCAGCGTGGAGAATAAGAGTCTGTCGAGATGTGTTCGACCCCGAAAGAGACCGAATTTTGCGAGCATGTTGGCTTCGGGCAGATAGGAAGAGTGATATTGGTGACGAACGGCGGATACTTGAATTTCCTGAATCGAGTTCCACAGTGTGCGAATTGTGTCGGACGGCCAAGAGGTGTTTCAAAACTACATTCGGGACATTCCGTGCAAGCTCTACCACAAACCGCATTACCCCGTGAAGCGAACCGTCTACAATTGCGACTTCCCCTCTAACACATCAGGCCAGCTTGTTGGGTTCACTACAAATATTTCCAACTCATTAAATACGCGTCAATCAAGCAATACAGCTTGATTGAAAGTTCCAGTACATTATTAATGATTGCCACATTGAAATATATTGAAGCTTATCGTATACGAAAATAGCTTCGGAATGCTTGTGTTCTTGAAATGAGCTTTTGGAGATGCGATAGAGCTGTTACCTTCTAACTCCCGGATTTGCAAAAGGATTCTATCCATAATGCCACTGCCAGTCAGTGGGAGTTAGATTGGCTTCGGGCAAATAGAGATGGTAAATCTGTTGAATTAAGTATTCTAGACTAATTTTTAATCCGATTCTTCCAGCACGAAAAGGCACTCGGCCAGCACGATTGTATCGAACTGTACCAAAATTCCACAAACTGTTATAACAACGGTGATGGAAGGCAACCAAAATACCAAATAAAGGGTGTCCACGATGAAATTGCCACACACAAAATTGATTCGCAAAATTCGAGTTTTCATCCGATTGCCATCAAATTTTCAGGGATTGAAAAAATAACTATTAAACTTCATTTTACCATTTTACTCGTATTTTATTTACAGTCCATACGCAAATGCCCGCACCTTGGCCTTAACCCCGGCCATAAGATTCTGCACAACCTGTGAATCAACCGTTTTTTGCATGTAAACCCATACTTTCTTCAGTTCCTCGACTGTCTTCACTACCTTAGGTCGTTTAAGAAGGTACTGCTTCATAATCGCCCAGTACTTCTCGATGGGGCGGAGCTCCGGAGTGTTGGGAGGGTTGAACATTTTCGGCACGAAATTGACCTTATTGTCCGCATACCACTTTAGCACGTCCTTGGAGTAGTGGCATGAGGCCAAATCCGGCCAGAAGATTGTTGGGACGTTGTGGGCCTTCAGGAGAGGAAGCAGCCGCTTCTGGAGGCACTCTTTTATGTACACCTGTTCGTTCATCGTGTCCTGGGTCACGAAAGGTGCACTCCGCTTCCCGCACGTGCAGATGGCTTGCCAAACCAGGAATTTCTTCGCAAATTTGGACATCTTCTGAGTGCGGACATGCTCCGGAATACTGAACTTATCCTTGGCCGTGAAAAACAGGTTGCCGGGGATCTGTTTGAACTCGGCCTTCACATATGTTTCGTCGTCCATGATGCAGCATTCAACTTTCGTCAGCATGTTGAGGTACAACTTCCTGGCACGGGTTTTGGCGGACTTGTTCTGCTTCTCGTCGCGATTAGGGGCCTTTTGTACCTTGAACGTTCGAAGCCCAGCCTTAGTTTTGGCCTTCTGGACAAAACTTCGGCTTAGGTGCAGCTTCTTAGCCACATCCCTAACGGAGGCGTTCGGATTTCGGTTGAAGGCCCCAACTACGCGGTTGTGATTTTTGGTGTTGTACGGAATACTTTTTCCTTCACTTCTGGGCTTCCGATCGGTGGTCAACCGTTCCTCGAACCGCTTAATCACTCGCGACACCGTGGAATTCGCGATTCCCAACGTTTTAGCGATGGAACGATGCAAGAGATCCTTGTTCTCGTGATGAATGCGCAAGATTTTATCACGCACGAGCTGTTCTTTCGACTCCATTTCCGCGAGTTTTGATCACAGGACTTTAAAACTTGCAGGATGTAAATAATGCACTATGAACTAAATCCACCCAAATTTTCATTAAATTCTACCCAACGGTTAAAAAGTTAGAGCAATTTCATAGTGTGCCAATTTCATCGTGGACACCCTTTATCAAGACATGACCAGATGACCAACAATCTAATCTAATAATATGGTTTTGACAGACGAAGAGATCCTTAAAAACCTTGCAAAGAAGAAGAACCATTCCGCCCCCGGGGAAGACGGGATGTCCTACGCCATACTGAAAGCTCTAAGGCCTGAAATGTAGCTCAAAGTAGCGGAGATGGTAAGCAGAGTATTCGTCCTCGAGGAAATCCCGGAGAGATGCAGAATCACCAACATTAAACCAATACGGAAACAGAACGGAAACCCCGCAGAACCATCAAGTTGGAGGCCAATTGCTCTAATGAACGTCAACCTCAAACTGTTAAACGTAGCAGTCAAGGATAGAATAGTAGAAATAATTGACCTAGAAGACCTCTTACCGCCTCTCTCATTCGGTTTTAGGAAACACTGCTCAGCAACAACGTGCGTTAAATACGTGGTAAACAGGGTTAATGAGACTACGGCAAAAAGGAAAATTTTAATGGCGATCTTCCTCGACCTTTCCCAAGCATTTGACTCGGTTAGCCTACAAATTCTGCTCAAAACTCTAGCCAGTCAAAACATTCCAG